GTCTGCTCCCAGCACGGGTCTGTCATCTGGCAGGCAGATTGGGGGCCCGCACCCCCAGGAGGACTCTGGCACCGCCCCCACAGCCCTCCCAGTGGTGTAGGCAAGCCCCCAATCTGCCTGCCTGCTGCGTTTTATGTTTCCCCATAATAACCTATGGGCGAAACAGCATCTAAACAGCAAAACAGTTTCAACAAAACAAAATGGAACAGTGCTTTCGAAATGAAACAAAACTTGAAATGAAACACTGTTCCATTAAATCGTTGAAACGGAACTCAAAGCGGAATGGTGCTGTTTTGCACAGCCCTAATAAACATTACTATGCACTTGCACAGAACAAGTTAAAGGCTGGGGCCTATTTAAGCAGCTTCAAGGGAAATGGGTGATTATCCAAGACAATCCCTCTGCACCACGGAAAGTGGAAGCCAGGTGCATGCATCTGATAGACAGGATTGAGTACTAATCAAATATTAATAGCAAGAGTCCTGTCAAACTGATCAAAGATTTGCCTCTGCCTGCAGGATGGCAGCCAATGACAACAGAAGATGCTCATATGTCACAGCAGAAACATGTGCTTGACAAGGGTGGTGGGAGGCTGAGTTCACCTGTTCTGTGGTGCCGTTCAGCATTCTTGAATGAAGAGGCTTGTAGGAGCACAAAGGATTATTACAGACCTTTCTGTCAATGGCAGTGGGCTTGGGTTTAGGCCCTAAAGCAGGCTTGTCCAACATATGGCCCACGGGCCACCATGCGGCCTGCCAAGCCATTTTATCTGTTCCGAGGTGGCGGCCGGGGAGTGCGGGGCTGCGGGGGGGCGGCGGACAGCAGGGCTGGCCTGCGGGCCCCAGCCGGCAGCGAGGGGAGTGGAGCTGCTTACCCCCCCAGGGCCCAGGGGAGCAGCCCTGTGCAGGAGGCCAAGCAGCAGCTGCTGGCACTGTCGGCCCACACCTGCCTCCTCACCCACCCACTTCAAGCCAGCCCTGCTGCCCTGCCCTACCACACAGCAAGGTGGCGCCTGCTTCCCTGGCCAGTCTCCCCCCAGGCGCTGTGGTTCCCTGGGCCCGGCCGCCTGCATGCGAGGCCCCGAGGGGGCCGCTTCTCACGGGCCGCT